ATGCCCCGTACTTGAAAAGGGATAATTAATTTAGAAATGAATCAGTTTGTTTAAAGAAAATCAAACTTATATAAGATAAATAGTCATAAAATTCGGCTACTAGTTATTAGACGTTCTGCAATTTTCTGGGTTCACTAAATGTTTTCGGAGACTTACTCATTAATAAAATTTTTAGAGAAATTATTTGTGTGTTTAAAGAGTCAAAACTTACATATAATGAATAAAAATGTAATTTCCTGTCTTTAAAATATTAGTAATGTTCTCAAAATAAAATTATAATAGTGTTAATAAAAAAAAGAGAGTTATTTCCTTGCTGAATGAGAAGGAAAGAGAATTATGTAATTAATAAGATTTAAATACTGATCATTTTTATATACTTAACATAATACATTATTAGGTAGTCTTAGAAGTACTAATAAACTTTAGTGAATACTATTTAGAAAATGTACTTCATTTAATGACTAGAAAACAGTAAATTTGAATAGGAATCTAGAATATAAGAAGTCGGGTCATATATGTTATTTTGAAATATTATAATATAACCAGGCTCCGGCCAATAATATGTAACAATGCTCTTTATTATCTTTATTGTGCTGAATATCTTATTCCATGATGCCATAATAGATATTTTTAAGTTTGTTAAACGTATCATAATATAACGATACACCTTATCGTATATTTTGTATTGGTGTCCAATCACAATAAAACAAAAAAACAACAAAAACAAAAAATGAAGCAAACAATTTTAAAAAGGTGAAACTACTTTACGTTCGAGTGAGCTGCAAAATGTATTAATTTCTGAGTGATTTATTAATATGTTAAAAATATTCTGGAGACTTTATAGTAGTTTTTTTTCTGGAATAATTTTAAATTAAACAATATTCTGGTAACGAAAATAATAGATAATTTTAGAATAGGCTAACCTGAATATAATAAGTTATAAACATATATGGTTGTTTATTCAACTCGAGGAATTATAAGTTCGATTATTTTATTGGGTAACATAAAAAAAAAATAATCATTAGGTTTTGACAAAACGTGATTGTATATTAGTGTATACATTTACAATCCACTTTATTCGAAATACTCAAATATCTAGAAGCTACTGTAACACATTTGTTATTATATATTTATTTTAATATCGACATTTGTTTAGATTAAATTTACATTTAGAAACATACATAGCTTATACTGTTAAATATGTATTGCGAAACTCCCGCCTATTCTCCAAAGTTTTAGAAGATTCTCGAGAGTAAGAATCAACAATATATGTATGTACATAAATGCTTAAATGTGGCTTTGTATTGTTACGTAATCTGAATTTTTTAAATAGCCTCCACACGCCTCTAAATATAACCAACGCGACGCGCCAAAAAAAGAATATCTATTATTGGTTTGCTATAGTTGGTGTGCTATATACTTCGGAAGCTATAACTGTGATTGTTATAACGATTATCAATCTGAAAACTTCAGATATTTGACCAGGAGCATTTACAAAGTTCGAACATTACAAACCATTTACTTAACTGCTAAATCCAAAGTACAATTTAACTACTAAATTTAAAGTATCATCTGACTCAATTTCAGGCTATTTGAAATTGCAGTACGTAACACTACCTAAATTTACAGATTCAGGTAAAGGCACAACGAAAATAAAACGCGAAATTGTTTGAATGTGTACTTTATTTAATGTTTTTCGGATTGTTTTGTTTCTAAAGTACTATCCATAGAGTTTTAGTTTCAATTTTTATGTACTTGTATTTTTCTTGCCTTTATTTTCGTAGCTGAACACACTTCCTCAAAATTGAGTACTGAGTGATTCTGATTAGTAAAAGCAATAATGAAATCAAGTATGTCTCAACCTCTGGTGCTATATTATGTGGAAAAAAAGGAGGCCAATATAGCTTTAATAGGTTTTATTTTTCACAGAATAACAAAACATTGGAAACAAGTGAAAATACATGGAAAGTGCTAGATTAGTCACCAAACATTACAAAACAACTGCTGGAATCCTTATCAGTTGAACAAAAACAACAACAAAAAAAAAAGGTGGTGAATTAAACACATGAAGGTCGAAAGCTAAGTGGACCTGGAATGTTATATTACTCATGTTATAAGTAAATAATAAACAATAGTAAAGCAGTACCATCAAAAGCTGACTGCTTAATTAGTTAACATATTAGCTGAGAGCTGAAATAAAAGTTATTTTTCCATTATAAGAATATGGTTAGTATATTAAACTATAAATATATATCAATTAACTTCCAGAGCAAGCCTTATTTTGACTGTGCTCGTTCCAATCGATTCATACAGTTATATCATTTATTCGGTTCGAACCAGTGAAGTTAGAAGAAAATATTTCATTTAAACCTGCATTACAGTTTTGCAGAAATATTTTACGGAAAACCAAAGAAAACGTTGTTACATAAAACGGGTAATGCTGAGAAAGCAGGAAATGAAACAAAACCTTTACATTGTATTTAACCATATATCTATTTTATTATCATAGAACAAGTGATCATCCCAATTCTTAGTTGTTAATTCAATATCCCGTTGTTTGTACGAAATATTAACTACATTTCTGTCCTATAGTGAAAAAAGCATTTTTATAATAGTACAAAAAGTAAAAGTTATAAGACAAGTGGAAATGAAACAACTAATCATTTATGGGTTATTTAGTTAATTTATCAATTAGAACATTATATTAACAAACTATCTTATATTTATTTGAATTTAGAATAACCAAAAACATTTTAAGAATATGTTGATTTCTAAGAACAACAGAAGCCTATTACACACACACACACACACACATACATATATATATATATATACTAATTTTCAATTCATCACCTTCATAAATTTCACACACACCAACATATACTTATTTCACTTCCCACAGAGTTAGGTTTATGAATAAGGATAACTATGCTCTCAGAATTGTTAGATCTAGAGCTTTTTATACATGTAATATAGTTTTGTTAATGTTGCTTTGATATCTATGAGCCAAATGAAACAAGTATAGCTTCAGAAAATGGAACTTAAACAAGAAACTTCATGAATATTGCATGCAAAATATATATTATATACTAACTAACTAAGGTAATGTATATTTACTAAACATAGGTTAATACCAGATATCAGAACGTTCAAAATTTCCACTCATTTTATTTCCTGTCTACTGACAACTAACACATTTGGGTTGTTATGTATGTTATCATGGTGTGTAGTTCATTTCAGGTCAAGCTAATATCTACGCATTCACATAAATTAACAATAACTTACGTCATTTCGGGCTCCTTCTTTACTTCATTAGGCCTGGCCCGACTGTTACTCATACCAACAATTTAATGCCCCGCCCTCTACTGATTCATTTGTTAGGTTCATATTTCAAGTAAAATCAAACAATTAATATTTACGCGTAGACTGAATAAAATGTTATTCATGTACGTAATCCTCGAATTAAACAACATCTTCATACACTTGCGTATCGTTTACAAACTAAACTATTTATTACACTAGCATGCATCTTATGAAGAAAAACGTTAGCTTGCAAGGGTAGTGTAGTAATAAGCACAATTAACTGAATGGTTTTTCAAAGAGAATATCTATATTCACTGATCTATCCTTATGCTTGACACATGTTATATGACTGCATATTCTTCAGCGAGTCACTGTCAGAACGGAAGCTAAAAAGATGAATTCACTGAATAGAATTTTTAACCTGAGAAATATAGGTTGTTTACAATAAAATATCAGTACAAGAAGTACAATGACAAAAACTAAGCAATGCAGTCACCCGATACAAAGTAGAAGAAAGAATTGATAAAGAAATAGGAAAACCCGATGTGTCAAATAATTGTTATTAGATTTCAGTAAACAAATGAGAAACATAAATAAAATTCAACAACAACAAAAAATGGGTCCCCAGATTGTTTTTTTTTTTCTCAGTGGAAGATGTCAGTATACAAAGTACATAGAGAAAGTAACCAAGACCTAGGGGGTCACCGATTTGATTGGTTCCCAGTAGTCAGACGTCAGAATACAAGGTACAGGAAAAATGTACTGGTTCTTCAGGTTTTTTTCGTGTGAATAAAGCTAATTTGGAACTAACCATACTTTGTTCAATACACAAAGAAAAAATCATTAGTCCATTTTGTCACTATGCTTCAATTTACATGGCGATCACCCTCGCGCTGTTTCTTTTCTTACGAGATATTCCGAGTTTAGCGGAGTCTATTGGTCCACTGTGCCAGGTACCCCAGTCATCGGTGTAAACTTCTGTAAATAGAAATCAGAACATTAGTGCTAGTAAAACATATCAATAATGGTATCTTTAAAATACGAAACAAGTGAAAGCTTGTTAACAGTTCCTGTTTCAGAGTCCAATGTGAGATTACTACATTGGTAAACATTATATTTAAAGTTTGGGAATATGTCGTTCTTCCATCTTATAAAGAAAATAAAAAATCAATACATAATTTATTCCGCATAAGTCTATCGTTCAATACCAAAGTTTTACATTAAATTTTGTAATTTTACTTACGGATAAGCGTTGTAAGTCCATAAACTTACTGCTGACCCTACGTGGGACTTTACCAACAAAGAAGTAAATATATTTAAAAACTTGTGTTTTAATTTTTTACATTTCACAAGTTCATCCTATAAATTAAACATAATCTTTGTATAAAGATATTATGTTGGCGATATGGCTAAATTGTTTCGGCAAAAGTCAGTGGAAACTTTAAAATATTACATGAGAATCCATTCAAACAATAATAAAAATAATAAAAACATATTAGAAACATTTCTTCACTGCCCAGGAAGGGGAAGTGTGCTTCAAATATCTATTACGCACATTCAATATAATATCTTTATCATGTGTCAGCAGGGTAAATCTTAATTAACTTTTGTGTAATTTAAGAATTATTATGATACAGTATCTATAACATGACAACTCAGATTATTTAATTTACAGTTAATTAGAACGTGCTCTCTCATAGATTATTTAGCTTTAATGTAATGTATATCAAAACTACTTATAATCATACAGTCAACAGTTTCACCTGGAACTCTTATTAACAACATAGTTTTCACCCCAGCCCTCAATTATAAGTAATCTCTGTGTCTAGTTCAATAGGTTAAATGAACTACATTTGTCGGAAATACCCGTAGAGACACCATATTTGCACCCACACTTGTCAAAACAGCTATTGTAGAGTCGAGGTGTGGACAGAACTTCAGGCCTGAAAGACTACACACTCCACATGGATAATGCTTGCACACGTAGACTGATTTGCAGAGTTTTCAAAAGACATCAGCTCTTATATGAAATTACTTAGTGAAGTTGTGTTTGTTCCTTCGGGTCCCCTGGGAACAGCCTGTTTTCTCATTCAAATAAACGAGGCGACGTACTACCCCATTTGGGACTTTGAACAAAGCATTTTCTAGGAACTTATGAATTACACAGCCATATTAAGACCTGCTATGCAAAGCGTTGCTATTATATAGCTGTGACCTATGTTTGGCCCAAGATGGCACGATCGATTATTTCTCCAAACACACTTCTGTTGACACACACCCACATATACGTTAGCTTTATTGTAAAGAATACTGTTAGGCATTTACGCATAAATATAAATGCATTTCTTGAAAGTATTACGGTCATGAATGCTTTTTACTAATTTCCGTTCACGCTGTGAGATTAGTCTTACTGTATAGCTACTTACAATGACTCACTTCATAATTCAATTCTCTGTGAGTAATAAAACTCTAAAAACAGATTTTCACCGTATAAACGTTAATGTTTATCTTCTCTTCAGCAACGGCAAACTTGGAATATAACGTATTGACTTACCCTTTCAATAATAGGGGAAATGTAGATGAAATAATCGTCCTCAAATACTTTGATTTACTTATAAATGGATAGCCCATCATTCTTCAATAAGGGTAATTTTGCGTACAATGAAAGTGTACGCGATCTTTCAGTAATGTAGTACAATTCAAAAAAAGAGCTGACTGAATCTTTTCACTAAGGTAAACCCGGATGTAGGTACAAAAGGGCCCTTCTTTAATAAAGATAACTCGAGTATAAATGGTATAAAAACATTTTCATTGGACGATGAGAACCTGTTACTACTCACTCTTCTTCGATAAACATAAGAGATTTATAGAAAATGATAACTCATTCATATCTGACTTCTTTGATAACGTTGATTAGGTAATAACTCGTTCATGATTCACAAAGAGTTAATCAACTCAATTTCGTAATCATAAGTATAAAGGTTGTTAGGTCATTCTACTTTTATAATAGTTGTCCGACATATGTAATATGAGTGTAGAGAATAATAACTCATACTTCTTCGACAAGGATAAGTGGTGCATAGAAGGTGTTAACTTACAGTCCTTTAACACGTGTGTCTGACGTGTAGAAAGTGTTAATTTACTGCCCTCCGACTACAATACCCTGATTATGGTAAGTAGTAAATAAGATATCTTTCATACGAGTAACTCGACCATAAATGGATTACTTCACCTTCATTCTACAAGGGTTACTAGTGTGTGGGAGATACTAACCGGTACTCCATTAATAACGATAACTTAAGTATGCTTAGGACTAACTCACTTTCATTCTGCAAGGGTTAGTAGTGTTTGGGAGATACTAACCGGTACTTCATTAATAACGATAACTTAAGTATGCTTAGGACTAACTCACTTTCATTCTGCAAGGGTTACTAGTGTTTGGGAGATACTAACAGGTACTCCATTAATAACGACAACTTAAGTATACTTAGGACTAACTCACTTTCATTCTGCAAGGGTTACTAGTGTTTGGGAGATACTAACCGGTACTCCATTAATAACGACAACTTAAGTATACTTAGGACTAACTCTACTTCATTCCGCAAGGGTTACTAGTGTTGGAAGTATACTAACCTGACGCTGA